GAGAAAAAAAGAGAAAAAAATGCAAGAGGAAAACGTCTTCCTACATCGTCGGGGGAAAAAAAACGCAAAGAGCATCACTGTAAAACACCACAGTCCGAAATGTGCGGTTCCAAAACTTTGCAGTTTTAAAGCATCGTGGTAAAAAAAATTCAAAGTCATTATTTAATTAATCTTTTATGAAGTTGAATTAGCAGTTTTCATGAAAAATATAGAGTAAAATATAACGTTCACGTGTAAAATACAGCATATAAAAGATCAGGAAAAGAAAATGAGCGACTACTACCATTGCGCGATTGTTTGTAGGTGCTTTGTTTTTCATCCCGATATTTTATAAGACTATGTTTTAAAACTGCGAATTCGTTTAACTGCTTTATTTTAAACGACGACTTTTTATACCGCCATGCATTAAGAACTGCGATTTTTTTCCTTCTTGCTTTCTTTTCTTCCACGTTACTTTGTACGACGGTGCTTTGCTCTTGTATTGTTTTTCTTGCACAATGTTTCCGTTCGCGATGTTCGCCGTATACTATTTTAAGAGTCAAATAGTAGATAACACCTCTCAACGCTAATAGTTCGGATCCACAAAAGGATTGACTGCACGGTCATTTCGGTAATTTTTCCCATGTGTAGCGTGAATAAGAGCTAGTTGGAAATTACGCCACGAAAGTATCCTTCCTTTCGCCAAGTAGTCCGGGCATGCTTTGCCACATTCAGTTCAGCAAACATATCATTTTATGCAAGGTTTAAGGTAAACTATAATTGCCCGCTTCTGATTTTATGCTTTTGTAAATAATATTTTAATACCATTTAGACATTTCTCCGCAGCTGAAAGTTCTAATACGGGTAACACTGCATGAATTTTGTTTCCTCCAAAATATTTTTGATGCGGGAAACTGTCTGCGTGTGATTTCAAGTCACATTTTGTGTAGTGTCAGTGCAAATTCTAATACCTTTCTCTCAATTACATCAAGTTCAAACTCCTATATTGTTATACGATGTGGCAACTTCGTAGCTTCGTTCCTGCTATCGTAGCGCATTTTTTTAGGAAAAAAAAATCAGTTACGATAGCAGGAATAGAACTGATATGCCTAATAAATGCTAGGAGCTATGTCGTTAATAGAGAAAGTTTCTTCAACATAGATTGTATGAGACTTTTAAAGATAGGTTATTAAAAGACGTTGACGAATATACAAGGCTTATTTTTCGTTGCACTATAACTGTTTTTCTTTTTTGTACACAAGACTTCAGATACTTGAAGCATTATTAATAAATATGTACGTATTGATCCTACAGACTCATCTTTCAGCGCCATTAGAAAATGTTAATAAATACATAAATAAAAAGAAATGAATATGCAGGAACTTAAAAAGCTTTCATAGTTGCTACAAGAATTCCCAAAACAAACAGAGCATGGTTAGAACACTTTAAATAAATGATTTCTTTATATCTGATGAAGAAGTTGTTGTATTCACACTGCGCCACATTGCCTTCACAACTGACGAAGGACATGTTACCTCTCAAACAGAACCTAAATATTTAGTAACAAAGTTCTCATTCTATTTAAATGCTTGGTTAGGGACTTCGTGCACAGATATGGAATTTTAACATCCACTCGAAAAGATACAAGGGAAACACTTGGATAGAAGTTCCAAAAATTAAAAATAGTCATTCATTTTTATTATTTTATACTAATTAATAAACAAATAAACTTATTTATTTAATATTATAATATAATATATTAATAAACAAATAAAATATTTATACGGAATATTATGTAAAATACATTGCTTATTAAATATGTTTTATTTTACTGGTTTATGCTTCACACAGTAATGTTTAGCATACATTTTTTTGCAATCCGAAAAACATGATTTAGCAATATTATGAATAATTTCATAATAATATAAAATTATCGGACATACAGGAAGACCAAAGATAAACCAAACGCAAAGCAAATGATGATCACATGAATTGTAAGACTGGCTGAATAACCTGTCTCGCCCTTAAGAACGTAAACAGAGCTTATAATAGAACCATTTATTGATAAGGTTTTGCCCATCAAATCTATTATCATTAACAATTCAGGGAAACAGAAGCCTCATAAGCCATAGATAGTCAGCCTCTTATATTCATTCAAAATAATAATTAACATTAAAGCATAATGAAATTACTTAAATCTAAAACTTCTCAATATCGACCAGAAGATTTCCTGCCTTCTCCAAATCAATTTTATAACAAACTGAACATAAACCAAATATATATTACTGAACTGTTTATGCTGAAACATAAACCAAATATATATTACTTTACATAAAGGTCAATGTATATAATTAATAAAAATGCAGACTTTCCCAGAAAATTAATATATTGAGCTCCGCCTGAGATAACCACTGACCTGACTTTGTTGTAAAAATCTTACAGTGTTAATAGTCATCCTGGCAGAAGGGAAAATTTCCTCCGTGTAAAAATATACATATAAATATTACATAGGCATACAAGGCCTGTGAATAAACATAGATATGTTGATTACAATCATTGTCTTGTACAAGTTACATATGATAGATACATAAAATCATGACAGCTATGTGTACATTTAAACATTATATGAATTCATATTTACAACACTTTTACTGAGATAATCAAATTAAACTTGTAATTCATTTACACATTGACTAGATTTTCAATATCATTTAAACTGCTTTACAATATTATTTTTATCAAGTACATACAAACTGGATAGTAATATGCTTACATTACAATAGTTTTGCTCTTACAGTCTTGTTATTATGCTGCGGGGTGAGCTATTTTCCTAGTGTTGATATTCAGTTGTTGTAGTATTTAGAATTGCTATTAAAATTATGTTACGAAGATACAATTCTCAAGAGAGGGGGAGAATTTCTTAGTATCTTGCTGAGCAAAGCCTGATTACCTCCTCTATTTTAGTTTTCGTCTGCTTGTTGCCGCGGGTATTCTCCACCCATTGCGGCCAGTATTCACTGCTTGGCATTTTAAAATGCAGTTTATCGGTAAAATTAATATACTGACAAAGACGCTTCTCTACTTGCACACAGCATACTTCAAAAACATAGAATCCATTTGGAGGACTGTCTATATATGTTTTCCACTAAGTCCATGATGCTATATAGATGTTGTACGGAATATGAATCCATCTCATTTATAGAAAAGTATGTTACACGGTGAGAAAATACTAATTTTATTGAATAATCACAGCACAATAACAGGAATTGTAAAGCTATATTACGTATTGTGGCCGAAGATGAACTCTACCGAGCATAGAAAACTTCACTTGCTTTGGGTTCGGCTTAGGCCGCCCGACATATTCAAGGAAATAAAAAATCTGAAAGGTTTCAGATGTTATATTACGGACAAATGGGTTTTATTTTTTTAACGGGGATTATAAACGGGATTTGAAAAGTGATACAGAGTTCAAAATCATTCGACGGAAAATACCGTTAAACATTGTAGCGTCTTCCGGTTGCTACGCTACCAACATAACACCAGAATGAAATGTGAAGAAACCTCACGCATAAAATATCAGTGTTTAAAGGTGCGCGCTATGTTAATGTTAATAATGTTAAAGGAACGCTTTGAAATCGAACAAAAATCCGTTAAGGTTTTACAAATATGAAATAGATAATAAATAAATTCTAAATTCCAAATCTGGGCTTGCAGGTGCCCATATTCGACTGGAAGACTACGTTATTTAAAATCTGATACTTCTAGGTAGCGTTCTTTTTCCACAATGCGGAAAACATACCTACATTCATGCAGATTCTTCATTATTTTAGAAGGTATTTCTTCCGCCTTCCTAGCATGCCTTCGTGTGTAATGGTCAGCACGCTCAGCGCGTATTCGAGAGGTCCTTGGTTCGAGTGCCGGCGAGGGAATTTCTCATTTTCATGATTCCTGCATCAAAATACCTAATGGCTCTACAGTGGCACCCGAACTAGAAAGATGGTGGAGGGTGATTTGGCGACTAGGCCCAATAATCCTCAGGCCCCTTTAAAAATGGGAGCATATAAGACATTCCCCCCCCTCCTTAGCATGCCTTCGTGGTGTAGTGGCCAGCACACTCAGCGCGTATTCGAGAGGTTCGAGTCCTGGCGAGGGCATTGCTCATTTTTTATGTCTACTGATTCGAAATAATCTAATGTCTCTACCATTTAATTTCTTTAAATATAATGCAGGGCTCTAATATTTGGTGGCAACAATTTGAAAAGTGATTCAGACTTTTATAGTGAAGCAACGCAAAATGCCAAAACGAAATTAATAAACCTTTTGGGTTGACGCCCATTCGGGCTAAAAATGTTGTGACTTGGGCTCCTAATGATACACGGTTTCTTGCAAAAGTAAAGGAGGACTTATTGTTTGTTACCTATTTTAGATCCGGAATAGATGTTCGGCTTCTTAATGATTAGATGGAGGTGATATGACTTTTCTTACTTATTTGAATGTGTGTGTCGTTCACGATTATAGGGAGGCCGAATGCGAAAAGGAAACTTAAATCGGTTTTAAGTTTCCTTTTCGCATTTTAATAATTTACCCTTCCAAGATAGTTTTTCCAAGAGTTCTGTATTTGGATGTCTCTATAAAGGCGGTAAATCTAGTTGGTTTGAAATCCAGAACCTACTGGAGTAACTTTTACTACCTGAGCTATCAATGCAGACGACGGATTTCGGGTCCTTATCAACTAAATTCTAATGACTGGCCTTGACAGTCTGATGTAACAGGATTTGCTTTTAACAAGTTTAAAAACAAACGCAGTTTCTTGTCTGAATAAATTATGCATTCATTATTTACATATACAAGAAATAAAAGTAAATTGTTCATAACTGAAGCTTCTCAATTAATTCAAAAGTAAATTACCAAGTTACGGGATTGAAATATTTGAAATATCACATAAGTATTATTTAAATATTAATATTACTGTTATTATTATAACATGTTTTCCCTATATTTTGCAGTATATCCTTTAACAGGTTCATTCATGGATGGGCGAGGTACGGAGATTGATGTAATGAAGATAATAGTCCTTCGAAAGGTAGCTTTGGTAAGACTGAGTTATTTATGCTATTATTATTACTATTATTATTATCACAGTTTTTTACTGGTTTATAAAATGCGCATTCTTTCAGCCTCTTCGCAACTTTAGAATTTGAAATATCTACGTAAACGTAAACTTTCCGAAATAATGCATGGAAGCTTTTATTGTTTGGGAATACTATGTATGTCTGTCCAAGAAATTTTGTTCTTTTATAGAGTAACACTGCTCTACAAAACTGTAAAAGTACTGACTCGTACATAACGATTTTTTTTTTTAAAATTAAAATGACATTATTCCTAGACCGCAATCCTCGGGTAACTGAAAAAACAGATTCTTTCGTTTAAAATTATTCTCAAAGGCGAGAAACTTTAGAATAGTCAATGCAAAAGAAAGTGGCGACATCTTTATTAGATTATTAATTATTGCAGAATCGGCCGGCAGATTATTCAAAGTAGAACAATCTAATAAAAGCTTGGACAAATTTGTGGTATTTATCCGGTCATATTTCTTGAGTCGTAACTTACTGCTCTGATTAAAAAAAAAATAACCAGAACAGCATTTAAAAATTTTTCCTTGCAGTTAAACTCTTCTACTCAAAGGCTTCGGAAAAGCAGTGCTCCAAACTAATGACTAGTTAGCATTTTTATGGAGAGCAAATCTTTAATAGTCACAACAAATAATATTTACATATTCTGCTTTATAACCACATTCAGGTTCAAAGAATCATGTATATGTATACGAAAGCTAAAATTCTGTATACTGTCCTTCTGTCGTATGTGTTTCGAAAGCTGAAATTCTGCATCACGTGTTGAACTTTCGGAAAACATTGTGTTAAAATATGAGCAGCAAAATGCTGCGGATACTGTTATTTTCGAGAAACTTGCTATAAAAGGATCATAATTTTTACAAAACAATTCGTGCAAAAATTTAACAGGTCATAATAAAATTTGCAAACTTTAATAACACGCAAATCAAAGCGTTAGGATCTAGGCCATGTTACTTTAATTATATCAGTAATGGAGTCAAATGGAAATGGAGAGGAGGGAATTAAAGGTAATGCATATGTCCATTTCACCTTTGCGCATTTAACACGTTCCGAAGATTTAGAGGATAAAAAATTCTTTCTAAACAAATCCGACGAATGAGAAAAATTAATGAGCAAATAAAAATTATCGGAATACTCAAAACTGGAGCATCATTCTTGGAAGTTTGACATTGTTTATTGTTTCCCAAAATGACATCAATTTCTTTCAAAGTTGCTTCAGTGAATTAAATGCTGCTGCTAAGAAACCGAGGAATAATAGACCAAAGCTTAACTCCCTCAGGCAAGACCGCATTGTAAATATTCAAGCATGATTTTCGGGGAACCAGTACTTTTCTGATCCTGAGTCCACAAGGCATGCTATCTGACTGCCAGCTAACTACTGTGAAATGAGAATTTATTAGTTACCACCTGCAGTATCCTCTAACGTTCAATCGAAAGCGAGAGTACTTAGTAAAATTGCAAAAATTTACTTCAGGTAAATTAGTTCAAATAATTATAATCTGAGCTCAACGTTCAGGTTTCTTTTCCGTCTCATAAAAATTTTAACTTTTTCTTCGAATCCATTATTTGCATTTTCCCCGAATGAGCTCTTGAGCGAAAAAAAAAGCACAGTGCGCATTAAATAAATAATAATAATAATAAACTGGAAGCTTTAAGATTTTAAATTACGCCCAAAGGAGCGTTATCTTCATTTACCTATACATACACGTTTCGAGGCTAATGTTAATGGCTAATGTTCCTTTGGGCTATAAATGTTTTAGAACAGCCTATCTTTAGAATATCTGACAGACAGTCTCGGGCGCTGGAGATAAATTTTTTTTTTTTTTTTTTTTTTCGTACAGTGTTGCCATTGCTCGCTTTGAAATCGTTGAGTTTGTTAATCAAAAATTCGTTAAAGTTTTACAAAATTTGAATTGCAAAATAAAATATTAAAAACAGCATATCTTTATAATTTCCGATAGGCAGTCTCACGAGCTGGGGATAGAAATATCTTTCCCGTACAAGGTTGCCATTGCTCGCTTTGACATCATTGAGTTCGTTAATCAAAAATTCTTTAAAATTTTACAAAGTATAAAATACACAATAAAAAAAAAATTCGAATTTTAGAATTCGGGCTTCCAGGTGTCCATATTCGGGTGGTGAACTACGTTATCTGATGGCTCTAGGTACGGTTGTTGCACAAATTCATGCAGATTCTTCATTATTTAATTTCTTTAAACATATTACAGGGCGATAATATTTGGTGGCAACAATTTGAAAACTGATTCAGAGTTTTATAATGATTCAACGCAAAATCTCGTTTTGGGACTAATAGCCCTACTGGGATAACATTCCTTTGGGCGAATTAAAAAAAAAGAAACAAATAAATTTAAATAAAAACTTCCTATGCGATGCCCGGTGGCGCAGTAGCACCACAGGTCCGGGGTTGGATCCCTGGACTCTGCAAAGTTGACCCAACCTTTCGTCCCTTGAATGGGTCGATAAAATGAGTACCGAGTTCGCTTGGCTCGGTCCTGCGACAAGCTGACCGCTTGTCCAGGTAAGATGCTCAAGCACCCCGGATCTCACGGTCGAGAAAGCAGATATCAGGGCTCTGCCGGCCATGGCTCTCTAAGGGCTGCTTGTGCCGCTGAGTTTAGTTTCCTTTAGTTTTAAAAGTTTTCTGATCGAGGTACATAATATATAGCATTAGAAATACGTTTTATGAATTACAATAATCCTACATATATTTACAATAATTATTGATTGGATGTATTGCATGTTAAACCCATTTCAAATTATGTCGGTTAGACACAATATTAAAGAATTTAATATGGACACCACATGATTTCCTTGAATAGCGGCAATTAACTGATATTAAATGTTGTCAGATATTTACAACAATAAACTGATATTAACCATATATTGTTATACTAACTGCATATATAAACTCTTATTATGTATGTTGTTAAGTTTCCTTATTTGACGAAAATTAATTTTTTAAATTTGATATTGCTAAAATATAAATACATTAGTCATTTACAACACTTCTTTAACTGGAAGTATACGACAAATACCAACAACTGCGAAAATCAAGGCCAGGTAAGGAATTTTAAGTCAGCAAGGGGTATGTTTGGAACCTCCGATTGCAGTAAAAAAGAAGGTCTACCACGAGATGTTACAACAAATCCTATTTAGAATCCATTTTAAAACCCTTTTTACAATCTATTTTGGAAAAGAGTCATTTATTCTATCCATACGTACAGGTGTCGCGCAAAACATCGTCCAAATGGATTCGGGAACCATCAAAATTAATATTTCCACTGAAATATGATACTCGAAATTTTTCGCAATTACAATACTTCCCTTATTGCATAAGGAAATAAAAAGTATTTAAATTATTAGGAAAGTTGTTTATGCTTTAAAATATATAAGATTCAGTTTGATTTAATTTGGAAAATAAATTATAAATCTTACCCTTTGCTAAATGACAACACTCTGAGAATTTATTACTTTTCAATATCTAATGTTGTTAATCAGTTCCAAAATCTGATTTAGTATGGAAAATAAATTATAAATCTTATCTTTTGCTAAATGACGAAACTCTGAGAACAAACGTTTTGCGACCCTGCGAGAAAGATAAGTTAAAGATTTTATGCTTTGCAAATGGGAACGTATGCAAAAGTTGCACTGGTGATAAATGATTTATAATGTAGCGCAGTGAGCCAAACGTTTTAGAAAGCCTCCACTGAAACGTTTTTAAAGCCAAAAATAACTGGTAATAACTTATAGCAAGTGATATATATTACAATTAATTCGTCCGTAGTTTTACAGCTGATCCAGTTTCCTTCCCTCGTTTATTATAATGACAAAACAGTCATGAAAATTCGTCATATCATAACTTCGTCTAATTATGCACAACCAATAAACACAAGTAAGTTTTAGGGAATGTTTTTAAACTATTATCCAGGAACATTAACTAAATCTATGGATTAATATTTAATTAAAGGCTATACTTTTTAATCAATCTTTTGCATTTCTTGTATACTATTGATATCATCTACTGATAATTTAAGAATACTTAAAATAGAAATGGGCTCGGAAGCTACCTAAAATCATTCTTTGCCATATGCGCTTGGTCCCTGTCTGTATCGGAGTTGTCAGAAAATCAGGGGGGCACATTTTATTATTTGCAAGCGTTGGGCGACATCGCTTGCTGGCCGGGACAGAAATTGCGGAAGCCGCTCTGTAATTGTACGTAATAGGCACTCTCTCCATTTGATGCGCCAACCGTTGCTTTTGCGCCCAGATGTTCCACTTTGGTCCTATTTATTGAATCTTTCTTCTTCTTTTATTTATTTATCATTCTCAGAATCTTCCTTGCTTCATCTTCGAAACTTGGGAACTTGATGATTGAAAGTTCTTTCTATTTTACAAATTCTCTTTAACAAAGAAGTACTTAATATGCATTCAGCTTGGAATCAAGCTTTCAGATGTTTCGAAGTATATGATTTAAAGTTTAAGAGTCTTTAAGAGTTCATAAAATATGTATATAAATACAAATGAAAACATATAATTTCATTCCAGATACGCAATACAATAGAAATCCTTTTAATCAGCGGCAATGGGATCTCGCTGATTCCGGGTAATTGAATATATATTTCTATAACTTGTTTTGTATTTTGTGATGCCATATGTAGGAATTGTAACAAACAATATCCTTCGAACGTGTTTTTTTATTTAACGGCTACAATTAAAAATGATATCTAAATCGTTAGGATTATTTAAAATTAAAATAAACACACATAATTTTATATTTCAGAAAAACGAAATGAAACAATATTTTTAAAATATCATATTTATCACTTGAAAGTTACATATTGCTTAGTGTGATAGCATATAACTTCGAATGTCTGCCTGCTTACAAGACTGTCGCCGTAGTTTTAAAAGTTCGCTGTGTAAGCAATGAAGCTTCATAGAA